ATTCCCTGCCACAGAACACGATCAGGCTGGTGTTATTTGCGATCAGTCACATCACAAGCTATCCCCCCTGAAAGCCGTGGCTGTGGCACTCGCAAGCCTTCCGGCACCCGGGAGGAATTGACGAATCTTGTCGAGGCAATGACAGGATGTTGTTGCACAAATGCTGACCCCCACATCCTCCAAGTCATGGATGTGTCTCTCCCTCACACCCTCGCGCTCTGATACCCCTCCCCCCTTCCACGTCAACATGTTCCGTATACTGTACACACGACAGACAGAGCTTTTCGCCCAATGGTCATTCGCCGGGGCTTGCCCCAGAGGGCAAGGAACGGTGACTGACAAGTCACTTGACCTATCCTATCCGTGGGATGGAATTTTGACGTGGTTCCAGAAGCCACACTTGCAGCCCTTGTCTTACAATGTTCCTTGAAGCGCATCGGATGTACCTACACTTCTTTCGCGAGGACCAGGAGGTAGGGAAGGAGCTCCATGACTGTCATGGGAAATTCGATCAGAGTGTATGTTGAGCGAAGGTGTACAATGTGGATCGATGTCTCTTCAGTCTCAAACAACAGAGCCGCGAGCGGCTATTCGAGGGTCACAGAAAACCATGCCAACGAACCCCCACGGACTAAATCGGGTCCCACGATTAATCCCCATTCTTTTCAGCATGGTTCAGATGGTGTGCGGATTTCGTCTCACGCGCCATCCAGACCCTCGATCGTCCGTCTTGGCACTCTCCACGGGAACGACATGCCTGTGTATAATTGCTTAGGGATTCATATCTGATAGCGCCTCCGCAAGCGACATCGAAGTCGCCATGCCACCTACCAAGGTACATGCTTCCGCTCGAGCGGGTACGGGGACATGTCAATCTGGGCCTGACATATACGAGAGATGGGCAGAACCGTCCGCTCCGTCCAGACATGGCCACAACGCCGGCTGCGAGACCATTGACCCTTTGAATGCAAGCCTCGGCGAGACAAGGTATCCAAATGGGGCCCTATCTAGCAAAGCCGACATTGCATGAGCGGAACCGAATGTAGCTTCTTGCGGGAGGATGCAACCTGAGATACTTACTGCCTCGCAGAACCAACAGAGCAGGCAAACACTGGACCACGGCCTCTTAGCACAGAGATCGGCCTCTGGTCTAAGCACGTTGCATGGCCTGGTACGGCCCTGCGGCGCCAGTGATGGTTATACTGTGTACGTTTCAACCCTCCGGGTGGATGATTGCGCCCTCGCTTGCTCGGCGGAGTGGCGCCACCACCGGGGCTGGAGACGGCAGACGCACGTATTGAGGTCTTGGAGCAATGGCGCCAATTCTGGGCTCGAAATCTGGTTGAGGCGGTAGGGATATGCTGCCAACGACTGACATTGGAATCAGGGCAAGGCCATGCGCGTTGGTCCTCGTTTGGATGAGGCCCGCCTGCAAAGCATGCTGCGGGATTACGAAATCGAGAGCAATGAAAACCGAAAAAAACAGTGAAGAAAATCATATCTCCGCGACTTAAGGTTGGGGCGGACTCGCACGACAGTTCCGGTCTTTGTTTCATCAGCCGTTGCGCCGCCCGTGGCCTCCGTCATGCAGGCCAGGCCGGCGCTCCGCAGCCAGTCGTCAAGCCCTGTGTGGTGTTGAGCCTCCATTGGTGGTCCCTCCCCCCTCTTCCATCTGCTTCGTGGCTGGCTCATCGAGAGGGAGAGGCTGAACGTAGTTGACGGGTGTTAATGGGGGTTGCGTTATCGCGGCGGGCCTCGTACGAGCCAAGATTCGTCCTTCTGCAGCGGTGGCGGGGGTTCTGGGATCTGCGGGTTGCAACGCCTCAGATCTACGCGGTCGGTCAACGACGCCATGCCGTCTCGTGTGGTTTGATACAATTGATGGTGAATTGGTGTTGCTGGCCAACGACGTGTTTCCCCCCTTTGACCTCGACGTCGGGGTCCTCCGCACCCGCCACGAACGGAAAGAAAGCAAGCAAACGGGTGTGGCATTGCAGGAAGCCATTGACAGCGCAATGACCGTCGGGAAACGAAGTGCGCCCCCTCCGCGCTGGCGACCCCCCTCCAACATTGGGGTCGCACGATGCGTATAGGTGGCGACGGGCCCAGGTGTTTGTTTGACACATTGGTGACACGGCGCGAACCTCCAGTCGGCCAGCCGCTTCGCTCGCGCCATACAGAGACGTGTCGACAGACTGGACCGACTCCAAGGGTAGGAATCGAGCAAAGGGTGCGGAGCGGCGATGGCGGGGGAGAGTCATCGCAGCGTCGCAACACG